GCTTTTCACCAGGGGTGCCCCGTGCTGTCGGGTGCGGAGGTGTCGTGCTGAGAAGCGGAGGAGCAGCGTGGAGGAGCAGCGTGGAGGTGTAGTGTGAAGGAGCAGCGTGAAGGAGCAGTGTGGAGGAGCAGCGTGAAGGAGCAGCGTGAAGGAGCAGCGTGAAGGAGCAGCATGAAGGAGCAGCGTGGAGGAGCAGCGTGAAGGAGCAGCGTGGAGGAGCAGCGTGAAGGAGCAGGTCTGCGTGGTGCTCGAGAGAAGTTCGGAGTTTGTATCGGAGCTGCTGCAGGCCTCCATCCAAACTCACCTGGATAATAATTAATTTTATTCCGGATCACGCTGTTGGCCCCTGTTGACCTGAAACGAGCTTGGATCATGTCTTTCACGTCAGGAGGATTTTCTGGCAGCTCGTTCTGCTATTTGCTGCGAATTATCTGTTTCTGTTTCGGCCTGTTGATTCTGGACCCAGCTTCTGTTTCCCATGGGAGCATCCATCCTTCCATCCATCCATCCATCTTCACTGGGGGGCCGGAGCCCCCCTCAGCCCAACTCAAACTGCAGTTGGGCCAACTCGTCGGGTTTGTTTGCCCATTTGAACTGTGACGTTTTATGGTCTGAAACTTTTCTGCATCATTCATATTACTGTCACTATTTTCAGTTCTCAGATTATCTGGAGTCTCTGAATCTTGTTAATACACCTGAATCTGTCCATCACTGCAACCTTCACTGTTTTGGGGTTCTGAATGATCACGTCTTCATTAATGTTTCTTATGGTTTGATTATGGGGGCTAATTGTCACACTGCTAATTCCTGTAATTACACATCAGTCACAAAAAACTCAAGAAAATGTCTGATAATAATGTTGTTACTGCTCTCAGGGATTCAGCCCAACCCTGGACCCCCCACTAATTATAGCACACCAAATGACTTTAAAAACGCCTCTGGGCTTCATTTTTTGCATGTAAACACTCGTAGCCTTCTGAGAAAACTGGATGCTTTGAAAATCCTGGTCAGTTCTTCTGGGACAGATGTTATATTTATTTCTGAATCCTGGCTGAACAAATCGGTAATGAATAATGATGTGGCAATCAATGGATTTAACATCTACCGCTGTGATCGACAAAAAAAGGGGGGGGGGGGG